GGCCGCCCCATCCCTCCCAGAGAAAGGCACTTGCAAGCCCCTCTCTGCACCAAAGCAACAGAAGGTGTCATGTAAAGCCTACACGGTTATTTTAGAGCCAGTGTGCAAATAAGGCTGTCAGCTGAAGCTCCTCGGAGCCAAGACTTCCATATCCCCCCAAGGATCTGCATCTCAACGAGACACCATGTGGCTGAGCCCGCCGGCTCCGCACCCGGATTTGGGGCTGGGGGATCGGGAAAACTCCTCCCAGACACGCCAGGACCCCCTCCCTGCACCCCCAGCCACGGGCACCGAGCTGAGGGGGTTTGGTCCCGGTGTCCTCATGGGATAGGGGAGGATTTTTTGGTGGTTTATTGGGCATTTGTGGGATTTGGGGGATTTATAAGCGTTTCTGTGTGTGTAGAGGAGAGATACATATACACACACCCACGGGAGATGGAGGGGATATATTTATCCCATCATTATAGGGATCATATCAATATCTAGGTTTTATATAGAATATTGCATGGAGTCAGTGAATATCTCACGTTGGAAGGGACCATCAAGAGCACCGAGGCCAAATCCCTGCTTGGATATGTGTGTTTATATTTATAAATGCATTTATCTCGTGATAAGAAAGCTTAAGGAATTGTTGGGGCTGGGATCCACCCTATCCCTGGCAGATAGGGAAAAACCCTTTTCCCTCCCCAAAATCTCCTTTTTCCTGCCCTTTTTCATGGCCTACCACAGAATTTTTTACTTTAGAGGTCACACTCAAACACCAGGGGGAAAAAATCCCACCTTCCATTTGTGCTGGAGGTTTGAATCCCACATTTCCCTTCTTTGCTTAAAGGATTTTACACTCCAAAAAAAAAAAAAGGAAAACCACAATAATTAGCAAGAGGGAACGGCTCCGAAGGATCTGTGTACAGAAGGAAACACAGGAGCTTGGGCTCCTTTGCGTTTGGTAAATATTAAAATTAATGAGAGACTTTCAGGACCCTGTTGTTAAAAATGCAGAAGGGTTTCTGTGAAGGATAAAAACACAAAACAACATGAAAAAAAAACCCCAAGCCCTGTACACAAATTCCTGCAATTATTCCCGATGCTTCCTATTTTTCAGCCAATTATGGAATTCATGGAAAGTATTAATATCCTGTTTTAATTTGCTTAATATGCCCATTAACAATAAAAAGTCTAATTAAGGTATCTGTACAAAGAGCCCTCAGCAGTAATTTCAGAGAATAATAGAGGAGAACGACGCGATATTTCTTGTTAAATGCACGCTGCAAATTAATTGATATCTTAATTAGGCTTTAGTACCCAGATTATCAGTTAGATTGATTTAGGGCTGCAACATCTCATTTTTTGAAGACATAAAAACAAGCAGGAAGGGGAAAAAACTGCTTTTCCAAGATATTTCTGGGAGCAAAGCCATGACACACTGGGACAGGGAGAAGGACACAGCGCTGGGAAGTGCCACAATTCATCCCAAACTCACTTCCCCCCTTGTTTTCTCACTGAATTCAAACCATTTTTAATCCAAAAAAAAGTATCAAAAACTAGAAAACTAACTGAGATTTTCACCAAACTCACTTTTTTAAACCCAAAACTCAACCAGCAGCAGGAGCTGTTTGGAAGGACGCGCTGTCTCCGCAGAGAAAACCGGTGGTGGGGAGTTGGCAAAGTGTTTTTTGGGCTTTTTTTCCAGCATTTCCTTAGGAGAAGGAGGGGAAAAAAAAAAACCCCAAAAAACCCAAGCAGCAATATTTTTGGACCAGCCTGGCTCTTTATAGCCTGAGGAAGCACTTCCCTACCTACACGCCCAGCACCATTTACATTTCTCTGGCAAACACTCGTCCTCCCCTCCGGGGTTTCTCCAGGAGGAGTTTGCATCCCATGGGATTCCAGCCCTTTCTGCATGCTTGGGAGTGATCCCAGGAGGAGTTTGCATCCCATGGGATCCCAGCCCTCCCTGGATGTTGGGAACGGCCCCCGTGGACTCACCGGGATGTCGGTGACCAGCCAGTGCCTCCAGAAGCGGAGCCGGGGGTTCTCTCTGTTGGGAGCGTCGGGGTCCACCATCACCAGGACGTATTTCTTGTTCTGCAAGAGAGGAGAGGGAGATGTTGTGATCATGGGGTGACAGCAAAAAGCCTCTAAATCCACATTTTTCCACTCTTCCCCAGCTCTGGTGGTATCACCCCAGAGGTGAGCAAGGAATGGGCACCGGGGAAGCCAAAAATCACCTGGGGATGATTTAATCCCAAATCTTTCCAAAGGAACAATGTAAGTTCTGTCTCCTTCAAAGGAGAATTCCCTCTGCTTCCCACCACATCCCCCTGGGGCACAGGATTGCTGCCCCTCTGGTATTTTTGGGATTCAGAGTTGGCTGGGGACAAGCTGGGTACCCCATCCTCCATGGGGGTGGCTGTGGGGAGCCAAATTCTGCCCCAAACATCCCAAAATAACCAAAAGGTGTTCCTGAGATGCTGCAACAAGCAGCACCTGGGGGTCAGGCAACACTCCTGGGTGATGGAATTGGGCAAAGAGAGCTGGGATTTGTGGATAACACTGGTTTAGCCCCCAGGAAACCTTGAGAGCCCCCACTGAGGGTACCCAGCACCCAAAGGTGCCACCTGCACAGAGCCCATGTGGATATTTTGGTCTGCTGAGGATGGAGCTGGCTTGCGAGTGACCTCTGAAAGGAAAACCTGCTGATCTCCAGGGATTTGGCAGGACCTCAGGCACCAGATTATCCCCCAAGCACGCAGATTAAGGGATCTATATCCGAATAAAAGCTCCAGGTGCGTCTGTCAGGGAGCCAGGCTCTGCTCCAGCCACCCCGGGGGCTGGGCTGTCACCAACAGCCCTGGGATTCAGCCCTGCAATTCCCACTGGAATTGGCTGGAGCTCTGTGGCTGCCCTGTGAGACCCGGCAGGGATTTGCACAGTGAGGTTTTTGGGGCTGACTCAATATTTTTGCTGTTTCCCAACCTCTGGTTGGGGTAAGGAGGCAAAACCCCCCTGAGGTGTTGCCATAACCTGTGTCCCCCTCCCTTGACATCCCACACATCTCATAAACCTCTTGAAGAGCACAGGGAGCACCACTTTTAACCAGAAAATGAGGATTTCAACCCATTTAGCTGGCAACAGTTGCAGAGAAAATCCCAAACTCCCTCAAACTGCCCCACCCAGAAGTGCCACTGCTCTGCTCCACAAACCTCAGCCTGGCATCACCCAGGGTGGAGGAATGACACCAAGGCTGCAGATGTGAGCATGGGAAAGGGGCTGTGCTGGTGTCACCACGTGAGGCTGAAGGTCAGGACCTCGAGGCACCCCTTGGCATCCCACACATCTCATATAAACCTCTTGAAGACCACAGACAACACCACTTTTAACCAGAAAAATGCAGATTTCAACCCATTTAGCTGGCAACAGTTGCAGAAAAAATCCAAACTCCCTCAAACCACCCCACCCAGAAGTGCTCTGATCCACAAACCCCAGCCTGGCATCACCCAGGGTGGGGGAATGACACCAAGGCTGCAGATGTGAGCATGGGAAAGGGGCTGTGCTGGTGTCACCACGTGAGGCTGAAGGTCAGGACCTCGAGGCTGAGCCGCCACCTCCATCCCCACCACGCTCCCACAGCTGCAGCCGGCTGAGAGGGAAAAAAACAAAAAAAAAGCAGCAAAATTCCTTAACAGCGCCGAAATCAGCGCTTAATAGCAAGGAGGAGGAGGGGGAGAAGAAGCCCGCCAACCCAAAAACCCTACGCTGGAAGTGTGAAGGAATTTGAGCTCTAACTTTGGGGAGGGTGCGGAGCCGAGCTCGGCGTTTCTGAATCTCTCGGCTCCGCTCGGAGCCCAGCTGGTGGGAACAGAACGTGTAGTCATGGGACTGTCATCGTGTGCTGTCCAGGTTAACATGTAGCATTTCTATTACTATTAACAGACTTTCTGCTCCTCACTCCATCTGTTCTTCGAAATAATTGCAGTTGTACAGACCATGCCTTCGCTCCAGGCAGGCTCTGGGGAGAGGATAGTGTTTTTATG